CATGGGGTCCGAGGGGTTTCTTATGGGGGTTCCTTCAAGGAGTCTCTCATGGGGTCCGAGGGGTTTCTCATGGGGGTTCTAGGAGTTTCTTGAGCTCTAAGCTCTTTTAGACTGAGCGAGATTATTATTTCGAAACCCCTTGAACCCCCATGATACCCGTCAGAGCGGGATTCCCATGGGAAGACGCGAAGTGTACCTTTTTACTCAGCAAATTTTCGATTCGATTCGGGGATGGGTAGAAAATGAGGAGCACGCATTCGTGGAAATTATAGACTTTATTTTTAGAATATTCTGAATATCATAAAACAACGTAAACATTCACAACAAATGGGAATAGGGCGTTATTTATAATAGTAATAATAATAATGTCGTTACGTTATCGTAATAATTAATTGTTTATGAATATGTCATCACGACGCGTTTATAATTATGTATAAGTAAGATCATTTATTTCTCATTTTTCATCGTTAGCGATTTATCCTTCGTATCCGTCGTTACCATTCGCTTTCGTTATCTTCGTCCTCGCCGATTGTTTCACCGATGATAATTCGTAATAATCCGTAACAGCGGTGATCCGTGTATCAATCATAATGACGATGACAATAATAATGAATAATAATCGATGGCAATAATAACCATAAGAATAAGAATCATCGTTAATGTCTCTATACCATATGCTCATGTATATGTATATATAAACAAATATAATTACGCTTATCTCGTAAGAAGGGATCGAGTTCTCGCGAAGAAACCGCGCCGTCGAAATTAATTAACGCGGCGTCCACGATTGTTCTCCTCGTTCTTCTCTTCTCCTCAATTTCGTTCGCGTTTCCCTTCAGCCGGATTCGTTCTCGTCCCGAGAAAAAAGTCGTACAGTCGAAGATTCTTAGGTGTAAGATCTCGCGCAATAGTAAATGTAGATAATAGTAAACGTGCGTATGTACAGATTTATCGTTGAATGCCATTCCTCGAATGCAGTACCATTCACAATCCTACGGAATTAGAAGTTCGATTACGATCCATGCAGGCGTTTCGCGCGACGATCGACGAACGCGATCATCGACCGTTCGCTTCGTCATCGGAGCGACGGTTTCGCTCGTTCCTATTCGAATGCAACCAGCGCTTGATCGTTCGCGCGACGCTTCTGATCTGCAGAAAATATCAGAGACGAAAAGAGTACGTTCGTTCCGTGAAAATCTCGCTTATCCAACGCTGTCTCCCCCTTTCCCGCAACTTCCTCCTCGAATCCCAGCTGCGAGTCGTATTCGCCGAGCGATCGTCGCGCGAAACCGACGAGAGAAACGAAGTCTAAGGCTACGATTCCCCTGGAAAAATTCGTTAAAACCGCGACCTCGCGCGTTCTCCTCGCTCGTGCCTCGCGATCCTTCCTCCTTTCATTCGCGCCTCTCCGCTTCCGCCGCGGACATCTAACGCGACCAGACACATCGTACTCGTCCAACGTTCCGCTAAAACTTATCGAGATTTCGCCGATTCCCTCTGTCCTCCTCGTTTCCCATGAACCCGTCAACGCCTCCGCCATCGTACCGATCAATTCTCGCCGTTGGTCACCGCGTGTGCACGTCCGGTAACCGAACGATCGTCGACCGGATCAGAATAGAAAGGAAAAACCGCGTTTTTCTAGAAGAAATCGTCGCGTCTCGACGATCAAACCGATCCACGGGGTGTTGTGTCTGGTCGTAGGGTAGTTCCTACGAGAAACGCGGGAAACGAAAGAGCTCCGCGATGCGTCGGCCGAACAAAGTGACTTTCTCTTCCTCCGTCCCGCCGTTTCGTCCCGTTTTCGAGTTCGATATGTACATACGATTTGCCGGCGCGCGAACACCGCGGGCTACCGGGGACCGCGGCTGGCGAAGCAGTCAATGACATTTAACGATAATTACAAAACAACGATGACAATACGACGTACACAGATACATAGATATATACACACACACAGACGCACGACACGCACGCACGCACGCACGCACGCACGCACTCACGCACGCATACAGTTACATATGTATAGGTCCGCTTGCTCGCGGCGACGGGTTTACGCGATGATCAGTCGTGACAGGTACATAAAAGTGGTTTCTCGTCGACGAATCGGGATCGATCGCGGCTTCGGGGACATCCTCGCGTTCTCTTTCACGCCAGAACTACCCGGCACTCAACGGAATCGATGATTTATCATGGTCATAAGAATATTCTTCTACATTCAACGCGTTTCGAAAGCAAAACTTGCCAATTTCTCAAACATAGAATATTCTACGATACCGGTCACTGGAGATTCAGAAAATTAAAGTCGTTTCGATTGGTACATACAGCGGCGTTCCAAAGATCCTGGACCATTCTTAAAACTTTCTTCGATACAATAGGCTTAAACGAATGTTCGTTAATATAATAAACAAGGACATTTTTACGTGGACGTATACAAAAGAAACCGTACAATTTCGTCTTCATAGTTTATAGAGAATAACTAAATCAGCATGTTCGAAAGTTCGTCATTCATTACTCATTCCTAAACAAATATGTATAAAGGACATTTATACGTCATAACAAAAAGTCCTCAAAGTCTTTATCGCGAGAGAGAAGCTCCAAAGACGATCCAGAAATTTTTAAACGCCACTGTACGTGTCTCTATGAAATAAGTAAGTAGTTCTAGCGTTGGGAATCCGGGTGAAAAGCGTTCGGCATCGTTTTCCTTCTTCTCCGTGTTTCTCCGATCGCTAAAGAATGTTCGACGGGAACCGGACGCGGAAGCCTCGATCGACCGAGCCTCGCGAACTCGACAGAATCGCGACGAACTCAGCGGCGAAGCAGCATCCGGGTTGCCACGCGGCCAACGAGAAAGATCTTCTCGATGCTGTTGCGTCGTTCGTTGTCCCGACGGCACGACGCGTCGTGCTCGACTC